AGAATCTTTGCCAGATCTTACACAAGATTGTGTCAAACACTGAGGAATATCATCACTCTACCATATGCAACCATTCTTTTCCAACGATCATATAGAGTCATGCCAGTCATGCCTTTACCAAGCAACGCTGGAGACACTTGCGTTTCATCTCAACATAATTCAACGTGCACCTGATTCAACAGGACCGAAGAGGTCCTGTGTTCCATCCATGGTCGTTTCGATTCGTTTTAAGAATCACTGATGGACCTCGCAATGGACATCAAGACGAAGCATGGTGCTCACAGTCACTTCCACATCAGCCATGGGATCCCATGGGCAATGTTCGCAGAGTTAATCCATGCTTGTTGGATCTTGTCGGAACGTTGGAATGGATTGTATGCTGGCGAAATATAATGAAATATAGCTATCTGATCAGCTATCTCAATGTCCTGAGGAAGTTTTGGAGCGTCTCGAAGGGCCAGGTTGACCTCACAAAAGGAAGAGTCACATGTAGCAAGGAATCTGCTGAATAAACAATTAAGATAATTAAGTTTTGACATTACATACATCTTCAACAAAATGCACTACAATGTACACACTGTACAAAGTCAAGCATGAAGGGCATGGGTGTGACATGGGCAGAAGTCAGGGCTGATCTGTGCGCGGCATTGAATTGTGTGCCTGCGACATTTTTTGCCGACAGGCACCGTTCTCGCTCATTGCCTCCCAAAAGCAACACTTATGAAGCAAATTGAAGGAATGACATGGCATGATTTCGATCCAACAAGCAGCAGCATGCCTTTAGTTCTTGACACTTGGTGACGCTTGTGCCTCACTTGCCATGGCCTCGATCTTCTGAAGAACCTGGGCATGGCACTGTCAAGACAGTCGGAAAAGGCACAGTGCTATTGTCAGTGACTCATCCTGCTGAGATCTGCTGAGAGCTTTGAGCAAAATGCTTCCCCACTCGGAGGGGGTGGTTCATCATCCAAATTCGGCACCGTGTACCTGGGTTGGGAAGGGAGAGTGAGAGGTATGACTAGCGGAGAAACGCACTGCACTTGCTCTTGGTGCTTGGATCAGAAGTGGGTTGTATGGACACAGCTAGGTTCAAAGCGTTTTGGCCTCGAGCACCATCTCCTTGACTGGGTCATACTGAACCTGGCAGGTTGCATCCCTCAAGCAAGCCTCCAAGAAAGATGCAACTGAAGCGTGAAAGCACAAACAGTGATCCGTTGGAGTCCCGTTGACATGGTCTATCAACGGTTCTTCTCGACTGACCAAATTCGCAGGCTCCGCATGTAGATGGATTCCAACATCACCCTTTCACAGAGAGCGAGAAGATCACTTCACTACTTCACAGATACTTTGCGGCCATATCTGATGGTCGTTTCCTGCTTTCTGCTGCTCTGCCTGCTTAAAGACAGTCGGGTGCAATGGGTGCCGCAACTTTGTGCAGGGCCATCCATAGGCTGCCTCAACCTGGGTCATGAGTCTGTGACGCTTTGTCCGGAGGACTTGAGCGAATCAGCGAATCTATTGGCATGTCCTGACCACCGCTGCGAGCTAGCCTCACAGCCTCACATAGTATTAGAAAATATCAGAAACTCTACTTTGATTCGGTATCCTGAGGTCAACACAGAGAGGCGCATGAATACAGATTTGACTACGGCTGCACAGTCAGCCCGCAGTTCCTACATTAGGATCTGGTTCAGACTGTCGTTTTTTCTACTGGTCCACAGGCAACTTGGTTGATAGGTATGGAATGGTTTGGATTACCTGAGAGTAAGGTCCAGGTGGTGACAAGTGAGGCATCACTTGCATGATACTCACCCAAATAACAGATTGTGCCAGAGTGCAAACAGAAACTAGTAACAACTAGCGGTGTGCGGTAAAATTAGTAACTTGAGGTAAGGGATGGATCCAATTTGGCTGTGATTTCTGCTTGATCGCCATGTCTGCGTTGTTTGAGTCCATGGGAATCCGAAGACCTGCAGCACAGCATGGTCGCTATTTTTACATTAGCGGCGACAAATATCGATAGCCAACCAACAACATGTGAATGAAGTGGAAATTTGACTGTAATCAAAATTAATCAAAATTAGCATTTGGTTTCTTGGGACCAAAGAAGCATTCACACCCTTTGAAGTTTCGCTGCGAATCAGCAGAGTAAAAACATGCACAGACCGCATACAGTAGCACTATGGACCACTGACTGAGAATGACTGAGAGATCTGGTGCTATGATGAATTATGACATGCTATATGATGCTATATGATGCTATGTGATGCTATATGATGCTATGTGATGCTATGTGATGCTATATGATGCTATATGATGCTATATGATGCTATATGACGCTATATGACGCTATATGATGCTATATGATGCTATATGATGCTATATGATGCTATATGCAAACATTATAACCTTATAAGTTATGATTTGGTACGTTAAGCAGCTGCTGGGCTGTGCCAAGCCTGCGCTCCAAGGATGCCAGATTTTTTTGAGAGGCTGCGGTTGCACGCCATCTTTCGAAGCGAGCATGGCCATCACCAGTGAAACACGTGCCAAAGTTCTGTGAAACAGTGCGAATTCTGCGCTTGAACAGGCTTGAACAGTCAAAATGATGTGAAATAAGGATTGCTTGAAGAAAGCATGGTCATGCATAATCTTCAGTCCTGCCAATACGTGGACATTTGATTGGACTCTCAGTGTCTCATTGCAAACAAACAACCAAGAATATCTGGTTCCGTACCTGGGGAATGTAGTTGGTAAATGCTCAATAGATCTCAATGGCATTATGCAGTCATCAAGTGCTGCACAAATCATATCCCTCGGGGTCTCATTCCTCTGGAGCCGGCGGTTCTTCCAACGAACCCTGCGGCTCCTCAACCTCTCCGGGGTCCTCCAATGAAGCTTAAAGTCAGAGTTGCCGTGGTGAAAAGCAAGCGGCCCACAGTGATGTCGGGAAGGTATGCTATGCCATCTCCCCACCGGTTAGGTTCTGAGTGCATTTCTGGGACAGGGATTAGAATCATTAGGATATATTTGAATCATTGAGTAGGCCTCTTCGCTAGATCAGTAGACATCAGTAGATCAGCCACGGCTTCGTCCAAATGTCCTCTGGCTCGTCTTGGACATCTGGAGGTGCCATGGGAAAGAAGTTGCTGCTCACGGCTCCGAGACCATAACCAACCTCAAAAAGGGGCTCTGAGACCGCGATTCCCAACTATACAAAATTAACCAAAATAGCAAAATTACACATAATCTATCTATCTATATATATTTATATGTAATTATATGCACATGTTCTGTATATATATACATATATAATACATCTATACATACATATTTTATAAATCATTATAAATCTATGTTCTTGGACATAAATTCACATATTGAGAGAGAGAGAGAAGGCCTTTACCACATTTCTGCTCCAGTTCTCGGGTCCGTGCATAAATATTCACAAACTGCCCATTGCGGATGGCACAGACCTTACCCAGCTCGGCAAAGTCTCCAACTTGACAAACTGACCACGGTGTATTGACACTTTTCCAGAGAGACATGTTGATACATTTGGAGGGTAGTGAAACTGATCCATGACAACACAAACATAGTGAAACTGATCCGTGACAACACTTATTGGTCTTCAAAAAGCACGCAAATGTCTTAAATGCAGCTTGAAAAGTAAAGTGTGGAATCTGACAGAATCTGACCCATCTGAAAAAGTTCAATGGTTCGAATCCAGAGACACTTATTCATGGATAGTGGAGCGTTAAACCACGGCTAAGTGCGCTGCCGCACCAGGCCAAGAAAGCGACCGGACATATACAACGGCGCTTGACCTAGCATAGTTGCACATCAAGCAATCTGTAACCCGACTACTGCACATGTTCAATCATTTGAATAGAGGTGAATCATCGAAGATCAATCCAATTGTTTCGGTCACAAAGACGTCACAAAGAGAGGCATCAACGAAGATCAGGAAGTAAAACCAGCGGGCCGTGGTTGAGACGTCCACCTTAAAGGAGCAGCTGGATCTGGTACAGACCGGTACATCGTTGGATCACCGGCCTGGACAGACCAAATGACCAGATTGTCACGGCGAGGATTTCAGATGACTTTAGAAAGATCAAGCGTTCAAACATCCCAAAAAACTCACTGATTCTAGAACATTCAGGATGACTTCTCTGTATTTCTCTTGAATCCGCTGAGCCTGTTTGATGCTCCACTGTAAGTTGTCTTCATGTAGGCCACGAATGATCTGCGGCAAGTCAAACAACTGATTTCTGAGGCGTTCAGTGTTTTGCTGAGATTTATCCAAGCTAGGTGATTTCAACCCCAGCAAAGATTGAAATCATGGCATGGAGATCAGTGTATCGTAGCACTTTTCTGGGAAGATATTTCTCAACAGCCTGCCTGTGGAACTGGGTCCGCCGCTTGTTCCTGTGCATCAGTTGAACTGCAATATCTTTCACTATGTTTCATCATCTTTCACCACGGATTTTTGGCCATCGGAATCAACACGCAAGGCAGATTGATACAATTGTGTGCACTTGTAGGCGTTTGGCCAATCTCATCCATGTTTGTAATGTGTACCAGTAGCCACCAATTCAACTACCAATTCTAGATTCTAGACACATCTAGACCCAGACACAAATTCTCTAGTAATTCTCTGGCCTCCCTCATCTTGGCAGCCAATTCAATTTGGTCGTCATCCTCCGGAATCTCTGGATGGACAGTACGCCCGCTAAGCAAGAGATGCGGCCTCATGCTGAAAATCGCTGAAGAATAGGAAGGATAGTTGAAACCCCTGAAACGGAAGAAACCAACAATGTCGGATCATTAAGTCACCAGCTGCATGTGGATCCATGCCTCGCGCAAGAGAAAAAAAGAAGATTCGCAAAGCATCCGGCAAAGAAGTGAAACCAAGGACTCGTCATGACTGGTCGTTGTGTGGAGACTCACCCAGAAAATCTCAAAAATCAAGCCAAATCAAATCACAGAAAACAAACTACAAGATTCACATCGTTGGTTTCACACGGTTTCAGCTTTGCCTCCTTCTTCTGGAGGTCGGATGAAGGCGGGCAAACAAACTCCTCGTTCTGCTCAACTGGTGACTCCTCATCCTCCTGCAATGCTCATGCAAATCATTGCAAATCCATGAAGTCTTCTGCAACCCTTTTGAGTTGGCAGGAGACTGACCAAAATGGAAACGCGCTGAAAATAGATCAGGAGGCACACGCAACGCCAAACCTCTTTGCACTCTCTCACGCTCTACAGTAGGAACTAGGGACCAAATGGGACAAAACAAATCAAAACAAGACACACACACACAGACGCAAACAGAAACACACAGAAACACATAGAAACACATAGGAAACACATAGAAACACATACGGTAGATGAGTCTAGATGAGTCTAGATTATCCAGATTGCTATAGAGACAGAAAAATAATGGGAGACACGCTCTCACATCTCTCACTCTATGCGCACTGCTTCCAAGCCTTCTTCAAGAAGCCCTTGGGGCAAAGGACCGTGTCTGCAGCGATCCGGGCAATCTGTGCTCGGAGGTACACCTCAACTTCAAAACATTCAAAATGGATGGCTGTCGATGGCTGAACATTTGTGCAATTTGTACAGTCCATTACATGCCATGCACCTCTTCTTTCCCATCAAAGAAAGGATGTGTAATTACCTGCCAATGAGTATTCGGTCGTGCAATGCATTTATATACATGTTGTGAAATGCGTCAAAATATGTGTCAAAATTGACTCGAAGCAAGCTGTCCTTGGATCCTGCATTTCCTGTCAGCAGCCTCTTGATCGCCCGTGCTGCAACGATCTGCCCAGTGTGCATTTCACGGTTGCCCCTCTATGCCATAGTCTTTCAATATCTAGCCGCCTAGAGGGCTCATCTGCCATCACAAACTTACTGTAACTAGTTGTGAACAGAAACACACGAGCAGCAGCCTGATTTGGCTTTATGTCTGGAAGTTTGCGCCACTCTCCCGCCAAATCATTGGTCACATAGTACGTGAATTGGTTTGCACCCTGACCTCAGAGTTCAAATGCACAAATATAAACAGCAGAAAATATGCAAAAAAAACAGAAACAGCCTGTACAATCAGCCGCTACAATATTATTGTGTGTGTGTCCACACATTTCTGACCACAGTATGTCTATCATGAGGATTCAATAGGTATCTGTATGATTCTATATTTATATATACAAGTATGTTCTATATAACTCATATATAACTCATTAATACTCATCATAAGTCTATGTTTGCCCAGCGCTCATCGATTTGATCTCAACTCAGTTGCAGGCCAGGTTGATCTGCGTCAGGGTCTGGCTCATCTCCGCCACCATCTCGCTGTGCCTACACATGTGCAGCCTACTCTGAAGGCGGGCTGAACCTATGGAGATGTCTCGAAATAAAGGGCCCATGGGCGCCCCAAGATCCGTTTCTTTAATTGAAAATGGGAAACATGGTGGCACCCGTATTTTGAGACATCCTACGGTACATACAACATAATCGTAATGCAACTTCCGCATTAAAATTACCTGTGCCTCCGCAACATAGTAGTCCGCCTCTGTTCCCAGAACCTGCGGCTCTTTCAGTACAGCGAACCCTGGGATATCATTCCCTTCCAAATGCCTGGCCTTGCCCCAGAATCTTAGCTTGTTCAGGCCGTCTTTTTCCTTTGCAGCCAGATTCCGCAAAGAGCACATGACCTGCAATTCGCTGCAAGATCCCATTGGGATCCATTGGGCTGTGATACCCCCAATTTTGGTTTCCTCTGGTGCTTCTTTTGCGCATGAAAATACCATATTATTATCCGCAATTACATTCAAGGAGCCTGGAACGATTCGGCCTCGCCAAGTCCAACTCCGGCCTTATCAGGCTACGAGTACCAGTATGACCACGGAACGTTCTCAGGATAGGTCTTCTGAATCGTTCTGAATTGTTCTGCATTGTTCCGATGGCACGGTGCGACAAAGGGAAGCAAGGTAAGCATAGCGCCCACGACAGCATCTCTGCATCCTCTGTGAAGTCCGGGATTCTGCGAGGGACAGTGATGATCGACCAAACAACAGTCTGAAGACATCCACCCAGCAAACTATTACACCCACAGATAAATTCACCTAGGTCTTAAGTCATGCCGATTCCTGCCAAAACTTCGTTGAAGCATGTTGATAGCAGCGGCGGTTGCAACGAACATCTGCTGCCAAGTTGACACATGGATCTTGACATTCTGATCTCATCCACTAGCAAGCACTCTTTTTTGAACATCCAATCCAATCACTGTATTCTATCCAGCCGGCACATGGGCACTGGCAAACGAGCATGAGGATCATAGTCATCCTCTCGAATATCTGTCTTATCGGTTGACTTGAGTCAAATATGACAATTATGATCTTCAGAATCAGTGATTGGTGAGACTCTAATCCCAGCCCAAATAAACTGCATTGGCCGTGAATTGCAGCAACCGAATCTTGTGCTTTGTTACACCTGGTATCAAATCTTACGGTTCGCCTGTGCAGCTTTTGCTTGTTCACAAATGGCCACTGCATCCCATCTTTCGTCCTAATTTCGACCCTCACAACCCATCTTGATACCTGCCAGAAGCCACTCAAGGACTCTCAAGCAGAATCCATTGTAATGATTTGTAATGATGTGTACAGTAATCAATACGAACCAGTACAAACCTAGATCTTCCAACCTGCCCGGAGCCAAGAATGGATGTTGCGAAGCCTGGCTTTGGCCACTCCAAACGTCTATATAGTTGAAAATATTAAAAGAAAAAACGGAATGCCAAGCATTCCTGAAGCAAAGCTCATGTGGATGGGACCTCAGCAGCACCCGGTCTCTTTGCTGGATCCAGCCTGGCATAGGACGCCAAGGCAGGCATGCGATGAAGTTTTGTTTGCAAAAGAAGTGTCAACACAGGCCGCATGTGACCAATACTGCTAGGACGATAGGATGAAAGGGTACATAAGTTTCGGGCTGCAACAATTGTGACAGGAAGTCAAGGAAAAGCTCATCATCTGTTCCTTAGGTGGGGTTCGAACATACAATATGCGATAATATGAGCTTCCAGTATAGCGCAGGGATGAAACTGAGCCGGACAGGTCAGACCGGGTCGGACAGGAACTGGAAATTTCATTGAGAATGATGCGCATGCGCTGGCGAAGTGACGTCTTCTTTGGCACCTGCATGAGATGTTCGGGTCCAAACTGGAAGTTTTCGCATGGAGTAGACATGTGCGGTGACATGTGTGAGGCGTTGTGACGCCCTTGTGGCTGGACAGAGCTCAAAAGGAGGGCACCAGCAAATGCAAGCGACGTCCACGTTCTGGGCAAGGCTGCCCTTCAATTTCTTGGTACAACTGCCCGTCCTCCAAGCTTTGCAAGTCTAGATTGATGATGAAAGTATTTGCAAACATAAAACATCAGGAGTGTTTGGCAGACCAAGACAGTCCTGCGTGAAATACTGTGGGACATATTTTCCGCTTGTCATCAAATGATACCTTCACAAACCATGACAAAAACGAGATATAAGTAAGATAAGTAAGGTAGGCACAGTAGCATACAGTAACCCGTACAGTCACTACACAAGGAAAACGCCAAGTTTGCTCCATCGGCCGCAGCTCGGCAGCTTGGCAGCTTGGCTGGTCCGAGGCTGAAACGGAAAGTCACCAACAATGCCCAGAATTCGAGCCAGCAAACTTTGCACCTTACAAGATCTTAGAGACTGGCCATGACTGGCCCACAACAGTGTCACAACGTAATTTGCAAATAAGCCTAAGCTGAAATGCCCATCAAAGGAAAGCGTTTGTCGTTCAGGTTGCAGCTGAATCATTTTGGAAGAGGACATAGCCTGCATCACGACATGAGGATGATGAGGACGTTGTCATGAGGCTTACCAAGGCTTGGATTCTGTCTTCCCAGATACAACAATGGCCTGTCCAAAGTTCTGCAATGATACAGCCCAAGGACCAAAGGTCAATCTTCTGGTCGTACGGAAGACCCAGCATCACCTCAAGCTTTAACCACTGGTGTTTCTTGAATGTGGTTCATCAGATTGCAGGACTCCAAAATGTCTGATTTGACTCTGCCCTTGATACAGTATATACATGTATCCATATTTAATAATTAATATTTAATACAATTATATAATCATATATAATCATATATAATAATGAATCATATATAATCATATATAATCTATCTATGCTAAATCCACTGCTGGATTCTTGGTCTGAGAAAGTGTCCTATCAAGATCCACAGTGCGCACCTCCGGTGCACGGTATGACCTTGACTGCACGTACGAAGAGAGGTGGTCGTCCACGAAGCAAGAAGAGCCAAAGTCTATGACCTGTGTTTAATACAAGTGCGTTCAATGAGAATCAAATAGACAAATAGAACCTGATTAAACAACCCCTCATTATCGTACTAGCAGCTATCCGGCTCAATAGTAGGCTGTGATGCTGTAATATGCTATAGTATGCTACTGCAATCATGAATCTGCCTGTTCTCAAGAACAGGCATGACCGGTGTCAGTTTGGTAGGCCTTGACCTCACACCTGCTGTACGACTTGATCAAAATATTCTCCTCAGAGGTGCGGTGCAGAATTTTGGAGTTTCTTCGATTTCTTCAGAATGCAATCCGCATCCAAAAACTGGGGCTCTGGCTGGCTTTAAGTCACAGTGTATGAGTCGTAAAGAATGAACATACTCCAGAGCGGTCAAAATCTGCAACGGTTGCCATCGAGTTTTGTTTTCTCTGAAAAAAACGCACATCGCATCACAGCACAATCCAAAATGTCAAATCGAGCACCAAGAAGGAATACGATTGTCACGACACATCGTGTACAGTGACAGGACCGTACAATACACAGCGTTGTCTACCTTTGGCCCTTTGGCTGAAGAAAAGCATTCAAGAATATGTAGCTCAAGGCTCAAGAAAAGGCATAGCGTAGTAGGAAATTGGCTGCTTTTGAAAATGCCACAAAAAGCTCTTGAGGCATTCCAAATGCATGCTTAAATCACCAAACCGTGCATATGTTTATGACGCGCGGCACGGTCCTCTAAAATGTTTGCCGCACTCGCCCATTTTTGAAATGCATCGAAATACGCCGAATAAGACTAAAGCATCTAACATTCCCTGACATATCTGCTACTGGTACTGGTGATGCAAAAGAATGTACGGGGATAAATTCAAACACCGCGAACAAAAACATGTTATTTGTCTTTTGGCTCTTGTCTGTTTTATCTCTGTTATTATTCGTATCAAACAAGACAAAGGTGCGTGAAAAAAACATTACGGAAAATACGAAAAGATTGAAGAGCTAGTCGCAGCGGAATGAACAAAATCAACCAAAACCATTCAGGCAAGGAGCAGCTCGCACCAATTTGTTCTGTGACTTTTCCCTCTTGCGCGTGGAATCCCAAACGCAAAATGGCTGTTCATTGTTTATCAGCATCTGATTCATCGTCTGATGCGAGCTCTCCTAACAGGTGGTTCTGCAGATCACGCTGTGCACAAGCCTTTCCTTCCTCTGCAAGCAAAGCTGAAGCTGCAGCACGCTTCTCTGCATCAGCTGCTTCTGCTGTCAAATGGACAGTTTTGCCAAGACCTTTGTGTGCACTGACAGCTGAGTGCTCAGCTTCCTTTCCTGTGCCATGTAAGAGCTGCTCTTCAGAATGTCCTTTGCTTCCATTGCCTTCTGTCATGTTTTGAGGATCAGTGGCATCGCACTTGCGCCTTTTCTCTGGCTCCATGGCCTGTTCGTGCTGCACTTCTTCCTCGAGCGATGCCATGAATTTGTCCAAGGGATCAACCTCATCGTCCTCCTGGTTTCCCGCAGCCAATTTTTGCTGCAGTTCTTCATTGCTTTTGGCGTTTTGCAAACTCTGCTGGATTAACGTGCTGAGTTTTGCTAGGGGCGAAGCTGCGTGTAGGTCTGCCACATGAACAAACTGTTTGCCTTGAAGCAGACAAAAGCAATGCATCCCACGGAGGTGGCAAAGCAAATCAACATAATGCATTGCAGATTCTTGTGCGTTGCGCTTTGGGCGTGACTTTACGTGCCAGAAACGGCTGCGTGGGATGCCCTCCTTTCTGTCCAAGTGTTCACAAGTTCGCTGTGCATGTTCAATCAAAGTGTTGAGGTGGTCAAGGCTAGCCATCCCAGGAGCACCCAAGTTGGGTGCAATCTCTGTGTACAAAGCGTTCAGAGCAGCAGAGCGAAACTCTAAGAACGTCTGGATGTCGGCCAAGCTTTTGGACTGCCACCAGTGAGTTCGACCCTCCGAGGCAGTCCCTGACTTTGAATCCTCCCAGGTGAGGTCAAAGCCCGAGTCCATGGCACAAAGAGCATCATATCCACGTGAGGCTCGATCGAAGGCTTGCTGCGCGCGGCTATCCATACATCTCTCTGGGTGAATTTGCTTCACAAGGCTTGTGTACCTCAGCAGCGATTCCACTGGAGATGGTCGCTGTGAGGAATCAGCACCAAGCAGAGCACCCGACGGATGCCTGGCGTCCAAAATGCGGCCCAAAGCATCTTCTTTGTCGCCCTGGAGCACTGGGCCCATGGCACCCATAGCCCCCGTGGCACTCAGCATGGTTCCAAGACCAAAGCATCGGCCAACATCTACCACATACCGATATGAGATGCTATGAGCCTATCAATATCATTCTATATCTACTGTATCAATTTATATCATGTGTATATATTCAATATATATATATATACGTGTATATATATATACGTGTATATATATATACGTGTATATATATATAATATCATACTTATAGTATAAACATGATGCGAACTTGGTGGGCAAAAGCAACTTTGAGTTGGCCTCAGCTAGTCTGTACGGAAAACCAACGATCGATAGTCCATAACTCATTCAGCTTTGGGTAATCCGCTATCCTGTTTGCAAGGCAACTCATGCTCTTGTTTGCAGCGCAACTCATGCTGTCGCATGTGAGGCATAACAGTCACATGCTATATGGTTGCCTCCAAAACTTGGGCCTGGGCTGCGTGAATCAATGGGATCAAGATGACTTCAAAATGGAAGAGCACTGGGTAAGAATGCGTTCCAGTTTATCTTGAGCTGTGTCCGTCAAGGCATCTGTGTCACTCTTCGCCTGCTTTGAGATCTTTTGTAGGCGACCCATAGTAAAATAAGGTTCGTCGCCTCAGGCCAACATATGGTCAACGCAGATCTGGCATATTTTTTCTATCAAAGTTGCTGTGCCGAAGCTGGCGAGTGTGGAGACCTAGACTCTTGGACTGTCCTTTCGTCGAACACATTCCCTCTTCTCACAGCAGTTTTGTCGGGCAAAATCTCTCTGTCTGCTTCCAGGATGCCACATTCTCTGTTGTATTTGCTAAATTCATACAAATTGTCGCGGAGCAGTTCGGTCACAATAATCAAATGCTCCTCAGTGACTCAGAGTCAGGGCAAGTAGAAACACGATCACTGGTGATCATCAATCTGTGTGTATATATTACCTGGGGAACCGAAACACCGCAAAAAAGCGGGTCGAAAGCCAATAATCAGGTATATAACTTCTGTAACTTATTGGACATGCATGCCACAATAACCAGGTTTTCAGGCAATAAACAAGGTTTTTCCTCAAAAACACAACTTTTCCTGAAAGTATTCAACGAATATGAAGAAGATGTCCGCCGACCCTGGCCTTAGCCAAGGCAGGGGCGGCGCCTGGGACCACCGCAGGTGTGGTACCTTTTTTTCATCGCCATTGGCAGCCTTGAAACCCTGACACCGTTCTTCGGCTCAGGCCGACAATTCTCTTTTTACGGCGTCCAAGCCTGCCGTTTGGCAGGCTTCAAAACCGCAGGCTTCAAAACCCTCCAAACGTTTCCCGGCGACTCTCATGGAGCCACTCAAGCCACACAATTCTCTTTTGACCGCCTCCAAGCTTGCCAAACCTTCTGCGGCACCTCTCATGGAGCCACTCAGGCAACACAATTCTCTTTTTACGGCGTCCAAGCCTGCCGTTTGGCAGGTGCCAAACCTTCTGCGGCATATCCCATGGAGCCACTCAAGCCACACAATTCTCTTTTTCCAGCGTCTCCCATGGAGCCACTCAGGCCACAGAATTCTCTTTTTATGGCGTCCAAGCCTGCCGTTTGGCAGGCTTCAAAACCCTCCAAATGCCTCCCAGCGGCTGCCATGGAGCCACTCAGGCCA